GGGATCCCGGATGAGTGGTGACAAGAGTACTCTTGGTGGTGAACATAAAGAGAAAAGAAGAAAACCTTGGCGTTATCACTTAATTAAGTACTTGGCATTATTTTTTGGAAACATGTTTATGTATCTACATAGTCATTGTATTATTGTAGGTGCAGGGAGCACTGAATTTACTTTTCCAACAACTATTCCCTGTACCGGCACATGAAGCTTTGTGAGTTGAGCATCATGTAACCGGTATAATGTGCAATAAGTAAAGTTTGCTTACAAAGTAAACATTGTTCCAACGCGTTCTAACGAGGTCTGTCTCGTTGTCCAGGAGACGACCAATCAGCGACGTTCCCGCCAAGGCAAGCCTACAGGTGCAGCATACAACTAGTGTTACTTTATGTACGCACTATACTCTATAGACTAGTACGGTGCATGCGGTCTGTAGATAATGAACTCTGCATAAAATGTACGGTTTACTACTAACCGCTACGCATTTCAGAAGTGTGTACGCTTTTCGCCTCCCCCACTCTTTCATCTGGCGGAACCCTATAAAAACCGAAGCTTCGAAGGAAGATCAAAGTCATTTATAATTATACCAAGAGTCCATAACCCCGGGGGGTTATGGACTCTTGATTATACGTATCGGATGTTGCCTGATGATTGCGTAAGCATGAAACTTAAAGTACATGTAGCAGCAAACAAGCCTTGATTGTCCTTGTTGTTCTGTTGTGTTGAGCACTGTCAGCACTCTGGGTACATCCTTCGGTAAAAATAAATAAAAAAAAGGTATCGAAAAGGGGCTCCCAAAGCCCCTACAATACATGTAGCTCCACAAGCTACATGTACATGTTTGAATAAAGAATGAAGCTCACAATGAGCGCCTGGCATTTCATTTGCTTCCATTCTCCTTTTAGTAGTCCGGGCCTCAGTGGTGCTGAGTTACCAGAAGAAAATATTCTATCATACCACACGAATTAATTATTTTCTCTGCACACAAACCACAAAAACTACAGGGCCAATATAAGGGTACGAAAGCATAATACATGTACAAGCGAGATATTGTAACCTCGTTCTAAAAATAGTTAGTGCATGGCAGGGAGGGCCTTATGGCTTGTGTGTGCCCTTCAGGTTAGCCCTCAGGTAATAATAATAATAACTTTATTAGGATGACCCAAAGTCATTACGACTCCCTGGTACTAGTCCACCAGAGAGTCTTGAATCTCTGGTGTGCACTCCACACGTTGGCGCACAAGCGGCGGGAGCAAATGGCATGCCATACTATCAATGACATAAAGAGCACACAGCCCCACATCAAGTGTACATAATCCTGTGGTGCCTCCTCTGCACCGTGGCTGGTAACTCGGCCTACTTAACTCGTAGCTGTACTGACGAGGCCTTTATGGTCGAAACAGCTGTCCATAGCATTGGGTAACCGGTATGTACTTTCGACGATATAATAATTATACAGAGAGTTCACATGTTCACAAACTATAGTCTACAATGTAAGCAACACGACCGTACAAGTACCGCGGTACCGGTAGATCAGGGTACAGTGCTGATCACTCAAGTAAGTTAGTTTGCGCCTTCTGCAGCCCAGTCACACTTCGCAGGCCTAGGGCTGCGCAACGCCCGCCGCCGCGTAAGTGACACGACTGGATTTCATTGAGCAGAACTGTATAGTCATGTACTTAGTACAACATGACACTGTAGTGTTTGAAGAAAGTAGTCATGTAGTTGAATGCAAGCAAGTGTACAACAGAGTCGGGAGCCCAATAACGTCGTTTCTAAGGGGGCAGCGTGGGGCTTTCTTGTCTTCTGGCAATCTCATTACCTGGCTGTGTTCCTAGGAACAATTTGTACTAGATCATGTTCGCCTTACAATAGTTACGCGCCGAAGAATGTCGAGCCCCAGAACATCCAGGACGAAATGCTAAGATTGAAGAAGTAAGAACGCCACCATATCGGTCGACGATTCTTCTGATAACGCAGGGAGATTACTGAAAGATAAGAACATCCAACAAAATAATTGTAGACTAGCCTAATCCCTTGGAAACAGACTCTACATGACTTCATACATATCATCAAAAGTACACACCCTTCCACCTGGGGCCAGTGGGGGCTATGTACTATTGATATCATCACGATTATGTGCCTGAATCTAGATCTGTCCTGGGATCCTCACAAGATACTGCAGCGCAGACGCTCAGATTCGGCGTTTTGAGAAATTTCGCATAAAACCCGCGGTATCCATGGGAATGGACAAGAAAATAGCACATGATGTTCAAAACGTACTACAAAGTCGTACATGCCCGTGAGTCTGAGAGGGTATACACTCTTGATAGGCAATGGTATACAGTAGTCGTACGCCCAAAACATTGTTTCTAAGGGGTTTATAGCACGTTCTTAGAAACAATACGTACTGCATAATGTATCCCACAAGCTGCCAGAAAAACAACACCGCTGTTCTTAGCGTTAGGCTGTGGCGTTCTTAGAATTACAAGCTGGACGTTCTTGGGCTCCACGTTCTTCAGTGCGCAACTCCACTGTAGATGCAAGCACACACCACTCAATGTTTTCATAGCCTATATTTCATACCCTCTTCATGCACATGGCACAGTAAATCAACACCCATACCTAATCCAGCAGAATTTCTGTAGCACAGACGGGACTACTGTATTGGCATTAATACACCACACAAGCACAGTGGACTGCACACCAATAAGCAGGCATGCAGGAGGAGGGTGTAAACAGTTGCTAGCACTCTCGCGCACAGGGGGCCAAAGGTGACAATGAGCCAACCAGTAGGTTCACCACAGCTGTACAGACGACAAGCATGTGCACCAACAATGGGGACAGTATTTGGTCTTTATAAAGTGTTTATTGATTTATGGATTTACTCCTTCTCCTCGCTGCGGAGGCGTGCGTTACCGTTGGTGAGGCGAACGTTCAACTGCTGGGCACGCTCAACGATCTGCTTGCGCTTGCGGGCAGAGACGTTGTGTGCGATCTCAGCAGAGTATTTGGTGTTCTGCATAAGCAAAACCTCGAGCTCCTGTGCAAACAAACAGTTCAAAAAAAAAGAAACAAACAGTTAAGCCAAGAACGAATATTTTGTTGGGAGTGAAAATACACCATAAAACCGGCTGCACTGACACTTCAAAACAAGGACAGATAGCTCCATAAGCAGTGCAGCACAAGAATCCACAGCGGCACATACTGGTGCTACTACACATCCAATTGACGGCGACTGCCATGGGCCTGGGATTGCCACAGACACGAGCAGGACTTGGACAGGGTTCAATGGACTCCGTGGACTATGGTAAACAGCATTTGCACGCTGCACTCCACTCTGCTCAGCAACTCCGTGCACACAGGATCCACTCCATAAACACAGCAACAAAGTGCTGGCAAAGCATGTCTGCATCCAGTAGATCCACGGTCAGTAGCAGAGGAGCCACACGGCATATCCAGCACTAGTACTAGGCAGGACTAATTCTGCTCGACAACTCAGCTCTTTACAATCCACGGAAACAGCATTTGTAGAACGCTGCGAACTCCACTTCTACCTCCACACTGATTGTCTCCACCAGCAGTACGAACGGCAGCTTGTTCAGATGTGCTTTGAATTAGTTGTGCCTAGAGTATCGGATAGCTGAGTGCATTATTTTCAATAATTATTATCTGAATGAATTTTTCAAAAATGTTGAGAAATGTTGAGAATTTGTCGAGAAGTGAATGGATGCTGTTCAAATAATACAACTGTTTGTCCTCAAATAATAAGTTACGCACCTTAACGTTGTTGACAAGGAACTTCTTGTGTCCGTCAGGAAGCTGATGTCTGGTTTTGCTGTTGTTGCCATAACCAATGTTTGGCATAAGGAATTGACCCTTGAAGCGTCTGCGGACACGGTTGTCAATACCCTTTGGCTTTCTCCAGCTGGGCTGTAATACAGGGTAAATATGCAACCAAACTTACGACATCAGCAACTGGATGGCCTCCTATTCTGATCACGAACAGCAATTTTATACCTTGACTTTGTCGTATCTATCAGACTGGTGACGGATAAACCGCTTGGTGCGCTTCTTCATTGTGGCCACCATGATTGCTGAACACAGGTACAGCACCAGAAAATAACAGCACTACTTTTTAATTCCAGGATGGGCCAAAACTACTATGGACTTCATGCAAAATGGCGAGAAACTCACCAGCCTCCCGAAGATGGTCAAAAGAAGGAGAAGAAAGGAAGATGCAGGGTCGAGCGTGGCCACTATACGCATGCGCACAAACGAAAAAATATGGCGACACTGCAATTTTTGGCGAAGTCGAAAAAATTAATGACGATGTACGAAATCTTTCAAATCAAGAATAATCACAAAGCGCCATGGAGACGAACCAAGCCATCGCACAGCGTCATCAGTTTTATTTCAGAAAGAAGTGCAGTGCCAGTGGTGCGTGGTGCTGAAATGACCGTACGGAAACATAGTGGCTGTCATTGACCCAACTCCCAAGGAATCATTGCCACTGGAAAGGACGATGCTGTCCAAACAGCAGGGAAGAATCCGTAGCCTCTACCAGGTCGCCAAGGCCTACAAAGGCCAAGATCAGATCGGCGTGCCGTCTCTGACTCGCGCGCTGGAACTTACAAACTATGGAGACTGGGGGAAACTGGACATGAGTTACCATCGCGAATGTCCCAAAATTATCCAACCAAATCAGATCTTGGTACGCAACCTGGCATCATCTCTGAATAGACATGACTTTGAAATGAAGACTGGCTACATTCAGCCGTATTTAGATATTTGTCGTAAGACGGCTGGTGAGAAGGCTGAAGGATTTGAACTGCCACTAGTTCTTGGAAGAGATTTCGCTGGTGTGGTAATGGATACAGGGCCAGACGTGAAACTATTCACACCTGGAGATGAGGTATGACTGCTGTGATTTGTTGTGTGCGTATGTCGGCCTGTGTAAGCTCTTTAATAAACCTGACCTCATTCACTCACTATTTCCACTAACCGATGTAGGTCATGTGATTAGTAGACTATGACCTTTGACCTCTTCAGTACAATCAATAGGGTCTAGGCATGTTTCGTAAAAAAAATGGTTGGTCCCTCAGAATGTGCCACTGCCCAGCTGATTTCCTATCAAGGACAGTAATACCGTAATCTCGCGCATTTAGGGACAAGTGAATGAAAATCACTAAACAACACGAGGTTCATCATGGTTCCATTGTACTGGCATTCACCAATAATACGCGTACTTGCACATGTACATGTCAATGCGTTGTTTGTCTCTCGCATATAAGACCATGGTCTTATAATCGAACGAAAACGCACTTGTGAAAGAACCAAAAACAGCGACTTTTCGACCATGGTCTTATATGCGCGAGATTACGGTACTAGTTCGATCAAAACTGTCAATTGCAGCGTAACATACATGTGCATTCGGACATACCACATGGTTGTTGTTCGACCAGTGGGGAATACCTTCTTGCAGAGATGGTGTGTCAGGGCAGCTGTAGTGACGATTTGTTGCTTGATTCTGTCTTTGCAGGTATTCGGTGCCACATCAAGTTTCGGACAAGGCTGTTTCTCAGATTTTGTCGTCGTTGAGCAAAATAATGTAAGTTCATGTCACTTGCCAAATTTGAGACATTGCAGGTGCAACTTGAAACTAGTAGATAAGTAGAATGACCATTCGTTTCATTGCTCTTTTCATGAATACATTGTTTTCTTCCAGGCGAGACATAAACCACCAAATCTATCGTTTGTGGAAGCTGCGTCCTTACCATATGTATCGGGAGCTGTAATGACTGCTTGCTGTCAATCCGGACTGAAGAGGCAGTACTACAAGAACTTGACTGGTAAACGGTACGTACCCCGCTGTTGTGTGGGAGAACATTCTCGCGTCAACATTGATGGTATCACTGGCCTGTCTCTCCATGATGGTGTTCTTTTGCAAGCCTGCGGCCTCGGGATCATGTGGACAAAGGGGACACAGAGAGAGAGAGAGAGAGAGGGGGGGGGGGGGGGACAGAGGGTGGAGGTTTTATACAGCCATCTATTGCTCCTGTTGGCTTGATATCATGTTCTCCTGGCGTGTCACGGTTTTTGTGTGTATGCATTTGTGTGTGTGGGTGTGTTCTGCATCCACAGGGTATTAATTCACGGTGCTGGCGGTGGTGTTGGGACTATAGCAGTACAGGTATGTACAAAGATACCCCCCCCCCCCCTTCCCATTCCAACTCACACACGAATACAAGTATACACTCACACATTAATTAAAGAGCATCCTGGAACGACATGAAGCACTGCCCTTCAGTTTGTTGCAGGATGTAACACTGTTCATTGCACTTGGTTAAGTTGAGCCTAATAAGTATGTACCCCTGTCTCTATACAGCATTCACTCCTGGCGGTTGCATATTCGGTGTACTTGTGCAGTCGCACCCAGTGCATAGCATCTACGAGCATGTGAGGTGTATATGTACGATGGAATGCTGCTGATTACCATGTACGGGATATACATGGAATGCTGCTGATTACCATGTACGGGATATACATGGAATGCTGCTGATTACCATGTACGGGATATACATGGAATGCTGCTGATTACCATGTACGGGATATACATGGAATGCTGCTGATTACCATGTACGGGATATACAAGTACAAGGAATAACTTGTACAGTGACTACTCACAAGTCGGATGTGAAAGAATGCTAAGGCAGAACAACGCTCACACCCTGCCTAATGATACTAAAAATACTAGTTCGCATGTGGCCGATAAATTTGAAAATGACTACGTATGTGATTATGGACATTCACAGTAAAGTGTGTTTGTGTGTGCGCGTGTGTGTACGTGCGTGTGTGCGTGTATTTGTCTCAGCTGCTGAAGTCGGCTGGTGCCCATATCGTCACGACCTCACTGGTCAGATCGTTCAAACTGCTCAAGTCTCTAGGTGCAGATGAGACGCTGGCTTTCCGTGCTAAGGACTTCATTGTAGATCTGGAGACATTGGACAAGTATGCCAAGAAAATAGAAATAGAAATTAATAGTTAACTCGGATGGTGAGCCAATTATGACAATTAGTCATAACTTGTAACATTTTGTCCTTCTTCTTTTCACAGAAATTAAGAGAAATTTTCTTTTGGAGAATCCTTGTATTTCATTTAAAAAAATAACAACAACAACAGCAGCAGCAGCAGCAGCAGCAGTACCTCCTCCAGAATAGTGCTATAGTGCACAGGTATTTGTTTTAAAAAGAACAGTAGGCACTACGGTGAAGTAAGTGTCTCAGTAGATTTATGCTGCGTGATTTCCCTTGGAAGCACTTACGACAGTACATGTACATGTACATGAACATCTGCAATCACAGTAGCAGTTCAAGTGTCACTGCACGGCACCATGTCCCTGCCGCGTGCCACTGCCTGCAAGTGTACTGATGACATGATGTGTGTACTGTGTTACTCTTGTGACCGTATGCAGGTTTGACCTGATACTGGATATACCTGGTCACTGCGATGGATTCCTGCTGCGTTGTATCAACCGACGTGGCAGCTACGTGTCCTTCAAGCAGCGTCTATATGAGAACATCCACGAGGAGGATATTGACCTAGCGTTTGGTATGATGAAGGATATTCTGCTAACCAAGGCCCGCCTACGTATGAAGTATGGCTGCAAGTACTATTATTTCAGTTACATGCCACCACATCCGTACTACCTCGACTATCTGTTATATTTCCTTGAGGATGGCACGGTGAGTGTTACTGGTCTGTCAAATGTTCATATTTATGCAGTCCATTGCTGTGCGCTGTGTGTGTGTGTGTGTGTGTGTGTGTGTGTGCGTTTGTGTGTGCATGTGTATTCTATGTGTTACTGCTGTGCATGCTGACATGTTCCCAGCACGGCAGTGGTGTGACTGCCACTGACTACTGTACAGTCGTCCCTCTCTAATCCGCCACCTTTTGCAACGGCATTTTCTGCTGGATAAACAAGGGTGCTGGATTATCAAATCCTGCCCTCCAACCCGGCCCACATGTTATCATACATGTTTGTGTCGTACGTCAAAACGTAGGGATTTTCTGTGTCAAACCAAGTACTTTGTGGAATGCATGTCTATAACATACACTTGGGAATATCTTATGCACTAGCATAGGATATTCCCAAGTGTATGTTACATGTGTTGTGTATGTTACAATGGTCCCTGACAGTATGCGATGTACAACTGCTGGATTAGAAAATCGAATTTATATGTACAGTTTGAGTGATTTATTGCAGAAAATCGCTGCTGGAGGTGGAATTCAAGTGCCGGATCAAAGCGTAGAAAATGAACTGAAAAAATTCGTTTTGCCAGAAAGTGTGCTGGTTTGCAAGGGTGCTGGATAAACAAGTGCCGGATTAGAGAGGGACGACTGTACTGGCATAGTACTGTCCAGTACAGGCTTATCAGTGGTGCTGGTGCTGGTGCTGGTGGCGGCGGCACGTGTTTGTTGTACTTCAGCTTCATGCAATGCCAAGAGAGCACGGCGTCTGACACAAAGTTGCAACGGTAGCTTTTACAGCCATTGTTCAGGTTCACTTTCGTGCATGTGTGGGCATGTGTGCCATGTACTCTTACAGATCGTCCCTGTAGTTCAAGACGTCATCGGTCTGGAGGAGATACCGGACGCTATGAAGCGTATTGAAAAGGAGGACGTCCAGGGCAAGACCGTTGTCGACATGATGCTCTTGCCGGAGGAAGCCAGGCAGCTGCACCGAGGAGAAACCGAGGCTGTTGGTGAAATAGCAGAGGGATGACATTGGAACACATGGCCTGGGGATTGAGTCCTGGTTCATCGATGATGTCACAGTTCGTATGCTACGGGATGAGCATGTAATGACCGAATACGCGGCTTCCAGGATGTACGCTTCAGTCAAGCATCTTGTGGTGTCTGCTGGCTATATAGCAGCAGAGTGGGCTGCAGTAAAGTGTTCCAGCAAAGTGTGCTGCAGCGGGGACCAGTGTTGCAGCGGACTGCAATAAAGTGTTGCAGTGAAGTGTGTTGTAGCTCAGGGTTTCAGTGGATTGTGGCAGTGCAGTATTGCAGTAGCACAACACACATCGTGGACTTCTTATTTATTTACGGTGCTGCGGGGTATGTCTACAAGTGCACAGTCATGTTGTCTACCTGTCATCCGATACTGATGCCCACGCACTCATTACCCTACTGTACTGCACTACAGCCATGCAGCTGTCAGGCATGATGATCAGTGAACATGAAGCGCAGCAGCAGCAGCATCCCGTCAAGTGGTTAGTTTGTTCTGAATGATCCATGGTCAGGGAAATGCGTTATTCGAATCAAGCCTGTGACCCGCCGCCCACTATGTACTGCGCCACCGTACGGTATCACTGCGTCAGACAGCCTCCTCCTGCCCATCGGCGGCGGCTCAGTTGTGCGCGGTGACGATCTTGTACCCGTGTCTTAGTAACAAGCTTTGCTCGATGCCACAGCACACTTCAGACACGCAGATTGTACACTGCACAGTGTCTTACCAGGCCATAACCATGATAACATGACTTGTGTGTGAGTGGCAAACTTGATGGCACCTTGTGGATGTCACATATCTGCACAGGCTATTGATCACTGTAAACACATGGAACTGCTATGTAACCATGGTGATCACTGTAAACACATGGAACTGCTATTTAACCATGGCAACCAATGTGAATAACTGTAAATGGCTTTATTACACCAAGATAACACGAAACCCAGAGCTCGGACATGTTCTGCATGGGTGTCTGTCACGTCGCGTTGAAATTCCAGGATTGCATCATAGTTGGTGCAGATATGCGCCGTGAAATACTAGTAGCGTATAGTAATGCGTACACTTGAGCTGCAGTTGTGCAGCAGGAGTCCTGTACTGCACGCTCTGGCCCTCTGGGTTTCATGCAGTACTCTTCACTATACCGGTAACCATTAATATTATTATCAAATTTTTGATGCAAGGGCAATCCCCACAGGCCTAAGGCCTTCTTACAGGGTACCCTAATGGTAACACATGCAATGTCAGGCGTGAAGCCTGGCACGCTGACAAGTTACAACACTTGCGAAGTGCGCACGCTGGAATGATCGTACATGTAGTAGTGTCAGCAAAAGTAAAATAAGCTCCCAAGGATACAGGAAACTTGCAAGGTTAAAATCAGTGCATGTACCAGTGCAGGCTGGAACTTTGTAGCGGAAAAGTATAGGGTGCGGAATAATATTGCAGTGGAACCTGGGTCTCCGACCACCTCATGAAATCAACTGTGCCTCGCAAAACTGACCACTTTCGCACGCACATAACCCTCCATATACACACATGGCTGGAGGGACTGGTCAAAGACAACATTCCGCATTCATCTGCAGCTTGGAATGTGAGTACAGGCACGGAGACTAAACAGTAAACACACCACACCACAGCACACACACACACACACACACGCCATACTACCAGGTAGAACGTTACTTTGAAACTACATTTTTATTGTAGTCAGAAGTAGATCATCCGTATAGCAAGCTAGACAGACACAAATCAGAAATAAGCAAGCCATTTGACAGCCATGACACTGGTGGACGTTACCACGGTTACACGATGTAAATAGCATGGAACAATACTGAGTTGCCATAGTAACCATACATATCTTATACGCTCTGAGAAGCACGCAAAAATACTGACGGCAAAAATGCACAAACACTTATAAGCAAAATTTCGAGACAGACCGGCTGCCCTCTATAACAAAAGAAATAATAAACGATGCAACGGTGCTAATGCTCACGAGACTGCTAAAAAAAGGGAAACAGAAAATAGTTGCAAAAGCACCAAGACTGGCCAAACCAAAATTTATATGTTGCACCCTATAAAGCATGAGTGCAGCCCAGGAGGGGGCATAATGGTTGGTAGCCCAGGAGGGGGCATAACGGTGGATTACACTGAGGTAGCCCAGCTCAGGAGGGCGCATGACTGCTGACTACACTAAGACATAATGCCGAAGATTCTGGGGAAGAACCAAAGCAGACACAGAAGCACGAGGACATTTGAAATCAAGTGAGAAATTTAAAACGAGATGCATAATACACAGCAGCAGCATCAGTAGCAGGAGCAGCAGCCAGCAATATGACCATGTGTGTCATGTTCAGAAGAGTACTAGAGGTATGTATGAGCAGATGAGAGCAACAACAAGAGGAGCAATCTAATTCATGAATATGTCAAGCAGACCCATCATGCGGTCAGAGTATTTCATGGTGGTTCGTGGGTTTCGCCGTACACACTGATATCTGGAAAATATGATAAACAAACTTTTCAACAGCAGGGGTGAACAGAGCGGCGGTATCATTTGCAGGCGAGGCAGCAGAGAGAGTAGAGAGAGAGAGAGAGTGGTGCATAGCTGCAAGCGGCGGCGGTGGCTGTGCTGTGGATACGACTAGCACAGGGCACCAAGATCCGCAACAGCCGTCTGATCAATAGCCACACAGCACAGGTCATCGTCACACTGAAGGACCATGATGGCGCCGAAACCGGGCAGTTTGTGGTAGCGCTCAGGTGCTGCATTGCTATCCTTAGTGGGCAGCCAGACATGGACTAGGCGACCAATGACACCCTTAGCCGGCCACCAGTTCTTAGACTGCCAATACGTGGGTGAGCAATGGATACGCATGTCTTCATCCGGCCACCGGATGTCCAGACCGGGCGGTTCGCTGTCGGAGATGTGCTTGAAGATGAGCTCAACACGGAGGATGCGGAACTGATGCTGGAACTGAGACGGCGACACCAGTACGATACTACTACTATTGCTGGAGGTGACAGACGGTCGATATGCCCTGTCTACCATGTCCACCGCAGTGCTAGAAACGTTAGGAGTTGCAGCAGTCGTAGCACTAGCAGCAGCAGCACCTCCATGTGAACCTACCGGCACCACGCTGGCCAGTATACTGGGTGCAGGAGTGGCAGCAGCAGCAGCAGCATGGCCAGCCCGTGCCTGTGACGCTGGTGTAGACGCTGCTGGCTGATCCAGTGAAGCTACACTAACACTGCCAGCGCTGTTCTCTGCAATACTGCGTGTTGTTGCATGTGTTGATGCAGCGTCAGGCACACCAATCGAGCCAGCAACACCAGCCAGCGAATCACCGGCACCAGAATAGCCGCCAGCAATGGAACCACCAGCCAGCATATTATCCGACACTGCAGTTGACCACCGGTCACTGCGTAAGCTACCGCTACCAGCTAAACTACTGCCACCTTGCACTCTCGATGCTGATTCAAGGCCATCCATACGCGATGACGCATCCAAGTTGCTAGTATTCGACAAGCTAACACCATCTGTTGCCGTAGCAGCTGCGTCCATGGTAGCCAATGACCCAGCCACGACTAGATCAGACGATGCGGCTACAGACATACCGGCAGTGCTGTGCAGGCTGCCACTGCGACTACCTGCTCGACGGCGATATACATCGGAGCGTGACGTCGTCTCCGCCACCGACTGCCCGTCCAGGCGTGAGTGCGTGTCGGCACGTGATGACACGTCGCCTCTAGACACAGAGTCCATGTGTATATGTGATGTGGAGTCGCCCACACTGGCATTCGCTCCATGCGCGCTCAGCGCCAAAGAGCCAGCGTTGGCTAGCTGGCTGACAGTGGAAATACCAGCCATGGACGAACCACATATACTCATGCCCTCCATACTAGTCATCTCGTCAGTACCTACACCTGAAGCAGCAGTGGCAGAGGCGGCCGCACTGCCAGAAGCGGCGGCGGCAGCATTGATGTTGACATGTCGAATACTATCGCGAGCACCGGTCGATGAGGACTTCCTACCGTCACCACGGAAACTTGACACATGGCTCTCTCTGTCCGTGATGGCCGAGCTAAGTCCCTGCAGGCTGTCCGTGCTGCCATGCGCTAGTCGGAATCCCACGCTGGCTGTACTGCCGCCCTCTTCCCCACCACCCATGCTGGCCGTGCTCCATGGCATGCCCATCGACGATCCGGCCTGGCTGGGGTCGGCGTGACCACCCGACGTGGATGCTGTGGCATGGGCGTGCTCTCTCGGCAGTTGTGGTGGTGATGAAGAGGACGGTGGAGAGTGGGCGTGATCACCGACACCACTGGCCATGCCAGCACCACCACCACCAGCACCAGCGCCGAAAGTAGTTGAGGACGCACTTGTGAATGAACCCGGCATCAGAGGTGATCGCGGCCCAGCACTGGTGGTGAACGAAGACGTGGCTCCGCCAAATCCAACTCGTCGTGTTGGTAATCCCTGGCTGGTGTTGCCACTGGCTGCACCTGCTGCTGCTGCTGCTGCCGCTGTGGTACTACCAGTACTACTAGGCTGATTGTGACTGCCAGTGAGGCGACACCTGGCAAACTGTAGACACTGGCCTAGTTTAGACCAGAGGTAGGACCAGCTCAGACTGGGGCCTAGCATGTCAGTTATCTGCATAGGCAGAAACACACACACACACACACAGACACGCGCAGACACACACACGCAGACACACACACACACGTGCACACACACACACACACACACACACACACACACACACACAAACACACATACACATTGACACCCGCACGCGCACACGCACGCACACACACACGCATACACACACATATCCAAGTACTATAAAAGCCATTATTCTAAAGCGGGATTCACAGAAGCTTTTTTGCGATGCGACACGCGATGCGACGCGATCTGCGATGGATGCGTGCGATGCGAACTCGCGAAATACCATTCACAGAAGAAGTCAGCGATGCGACAAAGTTTTGCTGATTTGGGTACGTCACCATGATATTCGCGCGGTTTGACACAACTTGTAAACATTTATAGGCAACTCTTGCACCTTTGTACAACTTTGCTGTAGAAAAGGTCAAAATCGTACACCAAATCGCTTGTCGCATCGCATCGCATCGCAAAAGTTGAGCCAAGCTCAACTTCTGCGATGGCCTGCGATGGCCCAGTTGCGGCAGTTGCGTGGGGTGCGACATGGCTGCGATTTGGGGTTTTCCCGGTTTCGCGTCTGTCGCATCGCGTGTCGCATCGCAAAAAAGCTATTGTGAATCCCGCTTAACGAGGCGCATATATAACGATTTCCCAAAATTGACTAGTTTACGTGTACCAAAGGTAACGATTCTCACTCATTTTCAACGCTCAATAGGACAGTATATGTATCGGTTTCTGTATAACGATTTCTATTTTAACGACAGGTTTCTCCTCGTTAACTCGTTAGAGTTAGCACTTCGTTATAATTATGGCTTTTACAGTACACGTTTGTTCACACAGCAACATGACTGATTGTAATCAGCACACCAAACAGGGTTTCAAGGACTTTGGCTGCTCATAGCATAGCATAGCATACATCTACAGAGTGAGTACAGCAGCTAACAGCAGCACAGTCATGCTCCAATAACAGCGTAGTGTGGATGTATGTAGTGTGTGTTTGTACATACATTCTCCAGTAATAGTGTAGCGCGGATGTCTGTAGTATGCATAATATATGAGCCGTGATCAGCAAAAACAGACCTACATGTATATATGAAACTCGGATGTTGAGCCATAAATAAATGTGGAAGAGAAAAGGACATATGGATACGAGTTAAGAGTAACTCTCCATCACTGTAACATGATACTTTATACAGTCAGAAAGTGCAATAACTAGGCACAAAACTGACAGAGTACTGAAACATTCGACGTCCTGACACCTAGCTTCAACACATCTCCGTAGCGCTAACCGACAGCCTTCCAACTTGGAAGGTTCAAGGTTATGGAAAGACCAAAGAGGGGAAGGCAAGCGCAACGAAAACGAGCAAAAGCTACAGTCCCAACGGAACAAAGAATGTCGATTGTTACTGGACGATGACGAGACCAGTACGATATTTGACAAAGCGGTCTAACTACAATTCGAAGCAGCAAAGCAGTTTCAGTACTCTGTCAGTTTTGTGCCTAGTTATTGCACTTTCTGACTGTATAAAGTATCATGTTACAGTGATGGAGAGTTACTCTTAACTCGTATCCATATGTCCTTTTCTCTTCTACATGTATATAGGTCAAATTTTTCAAAATGGTGTTTTTTGCTGGAAATTGTATGCTTGCCTTGTAGCAAACAATTTCCGGCAAAAAAATTCATTTTGAAAATTTGACCTATATGTCTGTTTTTGCTGATCACGGCTCATATGTAAGCCAATTAGTGTAGTGTGGATGTGTGTAGTATGGACATGTAAGCCAGTTAGTGCAGTGGACATGTAAGCCAGTAGTCAGTGTGTGTAGTGTAGTAGTGTAGTAAATATCCGGATAGGCGAGGGAACCGGATAACTGAACACACATACTGTACATGCATGTGACACATCAAAATGGGCGGCATCGTACATACATGTATATGGATCCAGAACAACTAGCGTGCACGTAAAACAAGCGAGAAAAATGACAAGTACATGCCACTGAGTGCTACCCACATGCATGCAGCAGGTCAAGGACCTGATTTGTTTGTACAACTCTCTGATTCTAGCTTCTGCAAGCCACGTGCAACCGGATACGACGAAGCTTTTTGTACATATTTTGACCAGCTTGTACACAAAATCATGCACCAGTATGCGGATCGCGAGGTCCGGTTATGTTGTATGCGTAACATATGATGCACATCGGTAACCAGCGATTTTCTTCCGGATGGCGAGGGATCCGGATAAACGAGGTGTGACTGTAGTAGTGTAGTGTAAGTAGTAGTGTGTTAGTCAGCCTACCTGATTGTTACTCTCGGCATAAGAGGTTGTGAGCGGAGATACGTAGATGGGGTAGCCAATATCACACGATGAGTTGATGATGTTGCGCAAGGCTTGCCGTGCATTCTGAATGCTGCCACGCTCTGCATTGCTGTTGCGCAAGAAGATCAGCTCGTACTGCTGCCCGGCCCACAGTCCACGCACACATTCCTCATTCACCTGTCAGCGGGGGAACAGAGTGAATAGAAACAACAGAGTCATATTTTAACAAGGCGTTGG